CTATCCATGCTATCTGATAGATATCCAGTAGACATCATCACATCACACTGTGGTGATGGAAATGTTCTGAATCTGTACTGTCCAGTATATATAGTAGCCACTAACGACATGTGCCTGTTGAGCACTTGATATGTGGCTAGTGTGACTACGGAACTGAATTTAAAATTTTATTCAAACAAGGAGCCACATGTGACTAGTGTCTACCATGTTGGACAGCATAGTTATAAAATGTTAGTCTGATAGGATGTGCTAAATGTTTTATTCAAATTATTTTATGTTGTTATTTGTTTGAATTAGTTTAGAATAAAGTATTCAACCGAGGAATAAGAGATAGCTGAGTTGTTCCAAGTTTGTTATTCATTATTATATTTTGAAATATATTTTTCTTTGACTTCCATAAGAATAAAAATATCAGATTGCTATTTCAGAATTGAAAAGAAAATATGTTTTAGGTGACTGTGTCATGCCATGTATTTTGAGTATTTTTATGTGCTGATAAGATATTGAAAATCAAAGTGGAAGGTGAAATTGAGCCTCTCCAGTGTTTTCTTCCATCTTACAAGAGAAAGGGGAAGTACTGTTTAAGTCAAACCTTGCTATTGTTTCAGAGTTTTTTTTATTATTGAAAATAGTCATGGTAATGTTTTGGTTTTGCTTTTTTTTTCTCATGATCATAGCTCACTGTAACCTTGAATTATTGGGCTCAAGCTATCCTCCTGCCCGATAGCTGGGAATATAGGTGACTGCTACCAAGAGCTGCTTTTTTTTTTTTTTTTTTTTTTTTTTTTTTGAGATGGAGTCTTGCTCTGTTGCCCCGGGCTATAGTGCAGTGGTGCGATCTCGGCTCACTGCAACCTCTGCCTCCCAAGTTTGAGCGATTCTCCTGTCTCAGTCTCCTGAGTAGCTGGGACTATAGGTGTGTGCCACCATGCCTGGCTAATTTTTGTATTGTTAGTAGAGTCAGAGTTTCACCATGTTGCCAGGCTGGTCTGAAACTCCTGACCTCAGTGATTCGCCCGTCTCGGCCTCCCGAAGTGTTGGGATTGCAGGTGTGAGCCACCGAGCCAGGCTCTCAAGCTAATCATTGGCTTACTAGAATAATGCTATCACTTGAGGTCTGTGGTAAGTTGAGTGTCATTTAAAAATTTTTTTTTAGAAATAAACTTTCACTATGTTTCCCAGGCTGGTCTTGAACTCTTGGCCTCAAGCAATCCTCCCTCCTCAGCCTCTGGAAGCACTGGGACTGGCCTGTTTTTGAAGTTTGGATGAAAATGATTGGTGACACCAAACTTCTTTGTGAACTACAGATTAATTCAGAAAATTTATTTTGAATCAGGGATGAAGAGTAATTGTGGTAATTGTTCTCAAATTAATCTTTGGCTAACTAGAATAGTGCTATCAGTTGAGGTCTGTGGTAAGCTGAGTGTCATTTAACCGGTAAAAATTGTCAGTTATTTTTTACAAAAAAGTAAGAAGCATGGGTTTTGGGAGCTGAAGGTTGCAGTGAGCCGAGATTGCACCACTACACTCCAGCTTGGGTGACAGAGTAAAACTCCGTCTCAAACAAAGAGAAGTATGAGTTTGTTTGTAGAACATTACAATTCTGTTTTTTTTTAAGTGAAACATAGCATTCTGGAATATTAATTAGTATAGTTACCACTATGCATGTAGTTTAGCAAAATATACCATATTTACTATTTTATACAGTATCATTGTTAACTAACAGTTGAATATTATTCAGGTCTTTGAGAAGTTATATTAGTTATTTCAAACACTTTTGTTCTACTGAAGGCCTCAAACCCTTCTTAGCTTCTCATTCTCAACAAATGATTTATTCTTCCATTTCATGAAATATGAGCACTGACTGTTCTTGTTCTTCTTTCTTATCAACTTAAAGTCATTATCACTGATTCCCCACCACCTCTTGAGTTACAGTGGAAAAGGTGTCTGTTCCTGACAAAAACAGATCTATCCATTTCTCTAGTTAAAGTTCTAATTTATTCTCTTTTTACCATTTTCTTCTTCTTCTTCTTCTTCTTTTTTTTTTTTTTGTGGCAGGTTATTGTTGTATTGCTAGCCCCACCAGGCGAGAGTGCAGTGGTGTGATCATGGCTCACTGCAACCTTGACCTTCCAGGTCCAAGCAATCCTGCCACCTTAGCCTCTTAAGTAGCTGGGACTACAGGTGTGCGCCACCATGCTCACCTAATTTTTAAATTTTTTGGTAGGAATGGGGTCTCCTCCGTATGTTTCCTAAGCTGGTCTTGAACTCCTGGCCTCAAGTGATCCTTTTGCCTTGGCCTCCCCAAAAGTGCTGAGATTACAGGTGTGAGCCACTGCCTGGCCACATGGATCTTGTATAGCAGTTATTTCACCTGTTTCATGTAATTCCAGCCTATCTCCATTTTTTTTTCCTTTCACTTTTTGTTTTCATAAGCTCCACTCTTCTCCAGATGTAATAGAAGGGAAACAAGACTTCTCCCTTCTTCCTTTTTTTCTAATCCAGGCTTTTTGAAGGAACTGTTTATATTCATTTTCTCTAATTATTTCCTTGCAAGCCGTGCTTTGACATGATTTTGATCCATGTTGAAGTTTGAGAATCACCACCCTACTCTATCTTTGTGGGTCAGTCAGGAAGCTCATCACTATTGTTGTTGTGAATTGTTATCACCAGTTATAAGTTTTGGTGGACTGTTAGTTTCTGCTTAAACAGACACAGAGGAATCAAATTCTGGTGGGGCAGGATGGTGTTTAAACTTAAAAATAATAACTGCAGGTGAATTAATTAAGCTTAGGTTTGGCAGTGAGTGCCATAGCACTCACTTCTCATATAAACATGGGTAATCCAGGTCTGGTAAATACATGATTATCAAGAACCTAGGCCTCCGTACTCTTGTTGCTCTACCATTTGCAACACTCAGCTGCTACTTCATGGTTCTGTTTGGCTGCTATAGCTATAGCCATCGTTTTCACATTCTAGTCAACAAGAAGGAAAAAGGAGATACTTTCTCCTTTTAAAGAAACTTCCCAGCGGTTGTCCAGACCTTTTAGTCCAGTTGACCATACCCAGTTGTAAAGGAGCCAGGAAAATAAAAGTTTTTATTTTAGGCAACCTTGTGTGCAGATATAGGTTCTACCACTGTAGGGAAAGGGGAGAACATATATGGCAGGGATAACAGCCTCTGCCACAATAAACTCTTGGGAGCTTTGGTTGGCTCAGTCAGTAAACAGTATTGCTTAGTAGTGCACCATGAGAGGTTAACTGGGAAAACGAGGGAGATGGGAAGGACAACAGAATTAGAAAAATTAAAAATCTCCCCCTTGGCACTCTAAGAGATTCTGTCTACTTGGGTAGATCAGACATGCATACATAAGTTACAGAGCAATGTAAGAATCAGAGGGTATAACTGGGGGGGAAATCAGACTCGTGGAATGTGGGATTTAGTTTTAGTGGCAAGCATCCCTAAAGGAGTGGAGTTTTGAGAAAACAGATTAGAAGAAGAGAATTGACATACTTTTGGGTAAATGGAGTTCTTTGTACATGATATTAATCGCTGTTCAGTACTCTTACCATTTAACAAGAGTCTTAAGACTTATTTCTAATCTAGAACTGAGGAAGCAATTATAATAAACCTATGAGAAATCTCTATTGAGTAAAATTATAATATGCTTGTTAATTTTTTAATTTATCTCATCTTACCTTTGACTGCTAGTTATAGTACTTTTATAGATAAAAGATTTGTATGTGCTAATTAGAACCATTGTAATTTACGACCTCCCAATTGAATAATTGAATGATTTTATAGAAATAACACAGTAAATATTGTGAGTAGAGAAAAAGCCAAGAAGTAGAAGAGAGAACAGGGGAGTGAGTTTTGAGTATTGTAAAAAAACAGTGGGTTTGGCAGAGTTCACCGGTGTTTAAAAATGAACTAATGTGATATAGTAATACAGTTTTGCATTTTTTTACTTAATATTATAATGTGTACATTTTTTCTTGTGAAAATTTTTCAAAAGCATGAGTTTTAAAATCAATTGTATAGCATTCCATAGTTTGGATTTACTGTAATGATTTACTGTATACCTTTATTATTAGACATTTAAATTGCTTATAAAATTTTTGTAACTATGAACAAAGTAAAGATAAACAATTTAAGTCTTTAAAATGAATTAGTGAGCATAGAAGCTACATGTTAGAATATAGAGTATTACTGGAGAGAACGTTGAGGTAGCAGAGATAGTATTTTGAGTTTTCCTCTAAAATAAGGAAGATGATGATCCTATAGAAAGTAGTGGAATGAAGCAATTAATAGCTTATACAATTTTGACTTTAGTTGTGTACTTATGAAAATTAAAGCAGTATATAGTATTGCTGGTTTATATAAACTAGTACAGCAACATAAATGTAGATAATTTACATTTTCTTCCTTAGGTGTACATATGTACTTTACGTTTCATATATTTACTGATATCTAAATCATACTGATGTTTGTTTTTGTTTTTGTTTTTGTTTTTTTTGAGGCAGTCTCACTCTGTCACCAGGCACCAGGCTAAAGTGCAGTGGCACGACCTCGGCTCACTGGCAGCCTCCACCTCCCGGGTTCAAGCAATTCTCCTGCCTCAGCTTCCCAAGTAGCTGGGACTACAGGCGCGTGCCACCACGCCCAGCTAATTTTTTTGTCTTTTCAGTAGAGACAGGGTTTCACCATGTTGGCCAGGATGGTCTCAATCTCTTGACCTCATGATCTGCCAGCCTCAACCTCCCAAAGTGCTGGGATTACAGGCGTGAGCCACTGCACCTGGCCCATACTGATTTTTAAGTAGTGAAATGACATTTTATTTTTGTTTGGAAAACAAATCCTTCACTTTAAATTGGTTCATTGTTTTCTAATAGAGTTTTGTAGTATGAAACTGTTCAGTTTAGAAAAGAAATGCATACAAATTTCTGTTTAAATATGTATATGCTTTTACTGTGCTTATTGTATCTCTCTTGATTTACAGGCCTTTTTGCAAATGTGTAATTTGCCTATCAAAGTAGTTTGTAGGGCAAATGCAGAATATATGTCTCCCTCTGGTAAGTGTGTGTTTTTTTCTTCTCTGTTAATATTATGGATTGATAAAATTATAGTGATAGTCCAGTTTGTATCTATATGTTAAAATGTCTGATTTTTTTGTTTACCCTTTGAAGATCTTTCCATGGTTTTAGAAAGTAATAATTGCAAATTTGACAATCTTGGGGTCAGCATATCTATGCATTTCAACTCTGGTCAGAGATGGTTACTGACATTTGTGGAAATAATTTTAATAGTAACGGAATTGTTTTAAATAGTAAATGTTAAGGAAATACATGATCTCAGATATCCCTAGTCTTAATGTATATAAGACTTTCCTTTTGAGAAAACAAATTTTAGTAATAGTGAATCCATTTATTATTCAACACATTTCTCTATATTCTCCCATAATACAGGCAGAAAAAGAGAGATTATAGAAAAATTAATTTGTCATTAGATCTTGAAGTCATCACTGAATTTGTTTTCTAATTAATTTTTCTAATGCTTTATTTTAACAGATTTTGAGATGCTTTTGCCTTTCTATTTTTTATAGTCAGTATTATCTTTTTGTCAGTAGATTATTGTTTTAAATAAATAATTCAAATAATTTTTAATATACAAATGTGCTGCAAAGCTGATAAATGTTATGTGTAATTGCCATGGATGTTTATTGTAATTATGATTTTGTTGGAGCAATGATAGCAAATAGAATTATTCCTTTTTGAATAAATCATTAAATATAAGTGATTAGTATAAGTGTGTAACATTGCTTTTTAGAGAGACATTTATCTTTTCATTTTGATATGATAATTTGAGTGCCTTGCGTTAAACTTTTTTTTTCCACCTTAGTTTCTAAGTGTGGTAGTATTGTTAAAAGATATGAAAACACCTCCTTTGTACATACTGAATATTCTTTTATATAAATTTTTATCATTTTAGGGATTTATGAATATGTATTTAGAAAACATTTCCAAAAAATAATTTCTAGGCTTATAAATGTAAACATATTTTAGATTCTTGGAGGCCATTCATTGACTCATTTTTGTGTTGATTTTAAACATAGATTTTTATGAACTACAGAATTCTGGAGAAATAAGTTATATTGTGGTCTGTCCATCCTTTTCCTCTATCTAGTCATACAAAAAGAGTTTATATATTTATGTACAAAGGTTAGTAATCTAATACTAAAGTTCAAATATTTGGCAAATGAGAAGTCAATATAGTTCATCTATCTGTTTCCTAAAAGTACTTAGTGTCACTTAGGTAGATATCAATTTTCTTTTTATAGACTGTGCGAAGGACAAAGATAAATATTTTAGAGACATACAAAATATATACATTCTTTCAGAGGAGGAGTCTCCAGTAGGTAGATGAGAACAGCATTTTCTAATGAGATATTTAAATTTCATCATATCTCAGATTAGTATTCTTTTTCATTTAACGATTTGAGATGATCAGGGAAATGTTTTTTATTATATTTGCTTCTTTGATCTTGTGGTAGATTTTTAAAGCAGAGAGCATGGAATAGTCAGAAGACCACTTGGTTTAAACTCTTATTTCCTGAAGAGTTGGAAATCTTTAAACCTTCTGTGACTTTGTCACATATTAACTATTTCCTTGAGAAATTTCAGTTCTCTAAGCCTCAGTGACTTTATCTATGATATAAGGGAGTTGGGTTAGATGACATCCAAGTTCCTATTTTTTGCATTCTTTGAATCTGCCAACTTGCTTGGCAACATATTCTTGCTTTCTTTAGAAATAAAAATTTTTGAAGTGATTATTCTGTCTAAGATGGTAACAAAGCCCTCAGTTTTCTTATATGACCTTTGATTGGTACCAGAAAATAACTCTCTTACTGTGTTTTTGCCTGATACCTGCAATAATAAGGATATAACATTGGCTCCATTGTCATTAAGCAGGCTAGTGACAGAAAACATTATTCACTTCTAATTCATCTTTATTTTTATATACCTCTTAATATTTAGATATATATAAGATGAATACTCAGTTGACTATCCACACTTCTTTCTTGCTTCAGACTTGACAATGCTTAATGTATTTTTAAGAAAAGAAATAAAATATCCTTTTTTCCCAAGAACTTGACACTGGTGATTAAAAATAAGAAATACGCTTTGCTCTAAAAATATTGTACTCCCAATACTCTTTGGTCTAGGTACTAAATAGTTTTCATTCTCAGATCATTTTATTTCAGGGGACCTGTAATAATTCTGGTAGTATAGTAGTTACAAAGATTTTATCCCAGGTTAAAAAAGCAATATGGCCTAATGCTTAACCAGATAAATTCTTTTTTTTTTTTTTTTTTTTTTTTGGCAAGATTTATAAACCAATAGAAGGAAGGAATGCAGAACTGGCAACAGGGAAATATCTTCTCAATACATCTATTGACTTGTGTTCCAAAAGGCCTGCCTTCCCTTTGTAATGTATGTTGTCCTATGGATGCAGATAAAGCTTTTGTTAGGGCTGTGCATTTCATCCATTACTCCTAGGCTGACTGAGCCAGAGAGGAGTGAATCTATTGAAAAGGAGCAGGAAGAAGCCTGCTGTTAGTGTGCACTCTATTTGAACTAGGTCTGATAGCGGGTTTCATTCTTTAGCATTTAGAGTAGATCCTTGCTATTTGGAGATTATTTTGTTCTCTCAACTCTAATAATTCCATCAAGTATTAGCATTTGTAAAGCTAAACTTTCCTTTTTAATGTGGCATTTGTCTATAGAAGCTATCTTTTATAAATATACTATTATTTTTTCCCACATGTTGGGAACATACTCTGTATTATAACTCACCAACTAACCTGCCTTCGAAGATTGTTAATTCTTTTAATTCTTTCTATTTTGAGTCAAAGACGTTTATTAATATACAATTACTTGCTTAAAATGTTGATCTCAATGGATATCAAAGACTTAAAAGATGTAAAAGGATTTCTTAAATGTAGTTTACAATATAGATTGATCACTGTACTCTGAAAAGAAAGCCCAGTTAAATTTCTTTGAAATTTATCAGTGGTCATGTACCAGTGCCCTGGCTTGGTTCATATAATTTGGATGATTAATGTTTGCTGCTATATGGTGATATGTTCTTGTTGGCTCTGAAAAGAGAATGTTGTGTGATCTGTTATATCTAAATGAAAACTCTAGAAATGAGTTTACTTGTTCTCCTTTTCTAAAATTGGTTAGTAATCAGTGTTTAAAATTTATCAAATTTAATGTACATATCTAACAAAAATTTTCAAAAATTACACTTTTATGGAATCCCGATTAATAAATATCATATCTGAGTTTTGTGATTTTTTTAAATTATCACAAACTGTAATTTACTGAAAGTATTTTTATACTTTTTTTTTTACTCTCAACAGGTAAAGTACCTTTTATTCATGTGGGAAATCAAGTAGTATCCGAACTTGGTCCAATAGTCCAATTTGTTAAAGCCAAGGTAATAAAAAAAGATATTAAATGCATTTGATCATAGTTACTAAGTCATTCATCATTCTTTAATGTATATTAGCATTTACACTGATTTCAACCTAGTTTTATAAAATGCCAATGCAAACTACTGGAAAATATTTCTGAAGTGTAAGTATTTTTTCATAATATAATGGCAAAAGAGGTAGCTTTTTTTCTTTATTAATGTCAAATTTATTAAAGGTATGTAATTTTAAAATGTAGTCTAAAGATATGGTTTGATCTTTACAAAATGGTAGATAATTTTGTAACTTATGCTTGAGAACTGTGGTCATAAATGAAAACTATTAGGTTTTGAAGTCTGGCTGACCTTTGAAAAGGGAGATAAAGGATATGTTTGAAGTTGGATGTATTTATCCATTCTAATGATTCTGCTTTGCATTTATTCAGTTTAGATTTTAATAGTTTTTAAGGAACAACTCCCATTAACGGTTTTGGAAACATCCTTTCAGACTTTTCTTTTTGCATATATGGAAAAACCTAGATCATACTAGTATGTGTTATTTTGCAACATACCTTTTAAAATCATAAGTAGTTTGGAAATTCTTCTATATTAATAGTTATAGATACATATCCTTTCACATTGTTGTATAGTAGTCTACTGTATTGGATATATTATTTTTTTTTTCTTCAGTACCCTCCCCCTGTATTAGATATAGTATAATTTTATTTACTCAAATTTATTGACAGACATTTAGGTCATGACCAATTTTTTGCTATTCTAGAATACTAAGATAAATTGTCTTGTATGTATACCTTTGTACACTGTCTCTCTCCTTAGAATAAATTCCTAAAAGTGGTATTGGGATGTCATAGGTTATGTACTTTGTTTTTTTTTTTAAGATGGAGTCTTGCTTTGTTGCCCAGGCTGGAGTTCAGTGGTGCAATTTCAGCTCACTGCAACCTCTGCCTCCTGGGTTCAAGCGATTCTTCTGCCTCAGCCTCCTAGGTAGCTGGGACTACAGGCATGCACCACTAATTTTTGTATTTTTAGTAGAGATGGGGTTTCACCATATTGGCCAGACTGGTCTCAAGCTCCTGACCTCATGATCAGCCCACCTCCACCTCCCAAAGTGCTGGGATTACAGGCATGAGCCACTGCTCCTGGCCAGGTTATATACTTTTTAAATCTTGCAGTAGACTGCCAGAACTAAAGGTTATACCATTTTATGTATCTCATATTTACTAAAGTGTATTAGAATTTTTAAATAAGTGGGGGTTTCCCCCTTATTTTTACTAACAGTATTTTTTTCATCTTTGACCACACATCAGTCTTTTTGGTATTTCCTTTTTTTCTAAGAAGGTTAGTCTCTTAAACAAGGTTTGCTAATCATTCTGTGTTTTTCTTTTATGAAGTAATTGACAATGTAATTTTCTCTATTGAAAGATACAATAATGAAAAACAAGTACATACTAACATTTTATAGTGATAACAGAGTATTAAATATGCTTTTATATAAAATAATTTTTAGGGGGCATTTTGGAAATTTAATTCATTGTATAGTTGCATGTTATATTATTGGTTAGTAAGATAACTGAAAGCTTTTGTACATTTAATATGAGTTCTTTTAAATTTTTAAAAATTCCCTGTAGGGTCATTCTCTTAGTGATGGGCTGGATGAAGTCCAAAAAGCAGAAATGAAAGCTTACATGGAATTAGTCAACAATATGCTGTTGACTGCAGAGGTAAAATACTAGATGATATGACTTGAAAATAAGCTTTTTCTCTAATTCTCCTAAAATAGAATGTTTCTTAGGGGTTAAAGTTATTGAGAAACAGGAAAAACAGTCAAGTAATTCTTGACTGGGATGGCTACCTAAATTATTTGGTAACATTATCTTTGAACAAAATACCTGACATTTTCAGTTCTAGTTTTTCTGTTTATAAAAAGGGGTGATTGTTGCCTACTCATTATTTTACTTTGGCCTTTGGAATTTACTTAAATAATAACTATAAAACACTTTAATGATATTGAGACATGTATTGTGTGGGTAAAAATATTTTTATAAAGTATCATCATTACATTTAATAATTCTGGATAGCAGCTAAGGAAAACAAACCCCTATGCGTGTGACTTATGAAATTAGCTTATAAAAAATTGCCTTGGCAAGTAATAACTTTCTTTATCCTTTTTCTCTTTGGTATTCTAAAGTTTAGTGACTGTTTTTTTGTTCCTAGTTGTATCTTCAGTGGTGTGATGAAGCTACAGTAGGGGAGGTGAGTGGTTCTGTAGCATTTATCTTAATTAAAATTTAATGAGAAAACACTTTTGCTCAGAATCGCAAGTCCCTGCTCATAAATGAAACATTGTGGTTTATACCATTAGTGATATAGTTTTTCACTTACTTTAATTTTGCTTGCACATACAATTTAGGGAAGCTATATGTCATTGTTTGATATAACGGGTTGCAAAGTACATAAGAATTTATATGTTTTTAAAGGGCATGGCTTAAAATTTTTAATTTTTTGGATTGCAAGCTGTGTATTTTTTTCAGATTGCTCTATTTATGTTCTTTGAAAATATATTTCTTTTAGAATTCTATTTGTAAAAACAGGCATTGTTTTTAGGAAGGATCATCTTTTTAACAAAATCTTTTTGCTGTAGATCACTCATGCTAGGTATGGATCTCCTTACCCTTGGCCTCTGAATCATATTTTGGCCTATCAGAAACAGTGGGAGGTCAAACGTAAGATGAAAGCTATTGGATGGGGAAAGAAGACTCTGGACCAGGTCAGTTCAGGTTGAAGTTGACAAAACCCTCAACTTTTATACATTGAAAGAATCATTTGTATCGATACTCCTTTTAAAGAAAAACTTTTAATAATATGACATTTGCAAGAAAACCATTTGCTATTATTTTCACTAACATAATTTTATTTTTAAAAAATCATACATGCTTGATGTAAAGCAGATGATATACTGCAAGTAAGTGTAAAAAAGCAATGAAACTTGTCTGAAATCTCATCACCTAGAAATTGACACCCTTAACTATTTGGAGAGCCTTCTTCTAGATGTTTCTTAGTGACATTTTCTCAAATGGGATAATATTATGCCTGCTACTGTATAACCTGAGGGTTTTTTTTTTTTTTTTTAATTGAACAATACATTGTGGGCACCTTTTATTTCACTAAATATAGATCTGCAGCATCAGGGCTTTAGAAAAAAAAGCCCTGTGAATACAGTACTTCATATATCCTTTTTTTTTCTTTTTCTTTTTGCTGTTAAAGTAGCAAAACTTAAAAATACATATCTTGTCCACAAGCATCATTAAGTTAATTAATGTTTGTCTTTTCCAAGGCTACCCTTAATACTAGCCAGCCATCTCTCTGATGTACCATTGGCCACAAGGGGGTTTCACTAAATGAAAAGGGATAGAATAAATAAAAATCTCACTCCACTAGTGGGAAAACAACTCAAATGCTTTTACTCATGGTGGGTCAGTGGCGTTACTTTTATTAAGCAGATTTTTTTGGTATATGCAAAGCCATTTGAATATATGGATTCAAGAAAACACTTTTGCTCTTGACAAAATCCTTATAAGTAACTTAAATCTACTTGTATTTTAAAGAAAATTCACTCAAAATTTCTTCCTATTTCATATATAGAAAGTATTTCATATATATGTGGTCTGTAGTCTTATTAAAACATAAAAGGTTAACCTGAATTTGTATTTTTTATTATAATCTGTGATACAAATTACGTTTTAGATACTTTTTACTGTTTTGCTAATTTAAATATTTTTCTTTGGGGCTCATTGCCTGTGTTAGGTCTTAGAGGATGTAGACCAGTGCTGTCAAGCTCTCTCTCAAAGACTGGGAACACAACCGTATTTCTTCAATAAGCAGTAAGAAAGTTTACTTTTTTAAAGTTAATTTTCTGTACTGTTAGGTTGCAAATTTCTTTATTTCATAAAAGAATTGCTTTTTCAGGAAAAGATGTGGTTTTTATAATTTTTGTACTCAAATATTTTTGTAGCACTTCTTTACTATCAGACAGAGTGCTAGGCTCTAGGAGACTTGTTTTCTAAAATGTGGTTCTTGTTAAGAATTTCCCTTAAAGGCAGTCATGTAAATTAGTCATTTATGGTAAGTTTTTTTTTTTTTTTTTTTCTTTTGAGATGGAGTCTTGCTTTGTTGCCAGGCTGGAGTGCAATGGCGTGATCTCAGCTCACTGCAACCTCCACCTCCTGGGTTCAAGCATTTCTCCTGCCTCAGCCTCTCGAGTATGTGGGACTACAGCATGCGTCACCCTGCCCAGCTAATTTTTGTGTTTTGGTAGAGACAGGGTTTCACCATGTTAGCCAGGATGATCTTGATCCCCTGACCTGAAGTGATCCACTTGCCTTGACCTCCCAAAATACTGGGATTATAAGCGTGAGCCATTGCACCCAGCCTCATATGATAAAGTTTTAATGAGGTAGTTCAGGGTGCTATAAATGGAACTACAAAATCTTAACAAAATTCTAAACTTGTAAAGCACTATACAACATGAAGAATAGTAAGTTACTGTTAATGCAACTATAGTTTTCTATGTAGGAAGATACCTGGAGGACTAGAAGAGTCAATAAAACTAAATAGTAGGCCGGGCGCGGTGGCTCAAGCCTGTAATCCCAGCACTTTGGGAGGCCGAGGCGGGTGGATCACAAGGTCGAGAGATCGAGACCATCCTGGTCAACATGGTGAAACCCCGTCTCTACTAAAAATACCAAAAAAAAATTAGCTGGGCATGGTGGCGCGTGCCTGTAATCCCAGCTACTCAGGAGGCTGAGGCAGGAGAATTGCCTGAGCCCAGGAGGCGGAGGTTGCGGTGAGCCGAGATCACGCCATTGCACTCCAGCCTGGGTAACAAGAGCGAAACTCCGTCTCAAAAAAAAAAAAAAAAAAAAAAAAAACTAAATAGTAAAAAATATTGTTTGATAGACAAGCACTATTATGAACTTACCTTTTAAATGTTAATGAAAATATTTGTAAAACAGAAAATATAAAGGATATAGGTTAAATATATGTGTATATATGTAAATTGAATAATGTTTCATTGACAGATTTACTTTTGCAATTTTGAAAAAAATATAATGAAGGCAAAGAATGAATTTTCCTTTGTTAAAAAGTTTTAATTTTAATACATCAGAATCAGCTATCCTATGATCCAGTGTAAAATGGGCTTAAAGCATTTTAATCTCAAGACTTTGCCTAGAAAGTAACCTTTTCTTGGCATTTTAATAAAAATTATATGTTTTTTAGATTAATAATTTTAAAAAGGCATTATTTGCTATTATGTGTTATATCTTCATAAACATTCCTCTTCTATAACCATATCAAATATATTTGGGTAAAGATAATATTTGTAGTAAAAAAAAAATGACTATAATGATAGTTTGGAAATATTTAAGTTATGTATACTATATATAATTGATATTAAAATCTGGGGTCTGTTGATCTTTGAAGCAGAAAGGTCACAGAATTCAAACCGTGAAATTCTGGTAGGTAAAGTTTCTACAGTTTTGTTCCTATTTCTAGTGATGCTTGCTATGCAGATTCTATTTTTCAGTCCCTAACACAAGAGAAATGTATCCAGATGTTAGTATTATGTGGTTTCTTTTCTTTCTGATATAGGAATTCTCAGGAATTGAAAAGCTCAGAAGGGGTGTGTTTTATTGAAATGCGTTATTCCATTTTACAAGTTAGTTTTGTTATGCACGTTGTCTTTAGAGGAGTTCAGGAGAATAGATCTAACTTACTTTTCTTCTCAGTTAAACTCATTGTCATTATGTTAGTAACCAGAGTTTGGCATGTGACTCAGTGGAAATATCAGTTATATTTAAACTTGTAATGAAAACTTCTAACTTAGAGCAGTTGAAACACCAAAGACTTGCTTTTGAGAAACTATTTAACTGATAATATAATGTAGATAGAGTTTTGACATAATTTTCCTTTACATAATACTTAGATAAACGTTTTCCCTAAAAATAAGATTAAAGATAAAAGAGATTTAATTTTTAATTTTACTCGATCATTTAATTAATACTAAAATGCAAATAAAGTACATTTAGAAAAAAGTAACTGGTATTTCACTTTGTTGTGCCAGCATTTTTCTCATTCCTTTATCAGTAGTTGGAGTCATTACTTTGTGAGATACTGTGCTGAATAGAGCTCTGTTCTAAGTCAAGATACATGGAAGTATACTGCAAGTCAGAGGATCTGAATTCTATACTTGGTTCTGACATATCTCTAACTCTAAGTTGCTCTTAATTTCTCTGTGTATGCACCAGTCCCTTACCCCCTAAAATTAGAATTAACTTTCCTTCTTGCTCACCTGCTGGGGATGTTGGGAGGACTCATGAAAGAAACCAAATGCTTTTACTTGATGAGAGAAAGGAAAAGGGTAGTTAAGGGAGATCTTACAGAAAGAATAATAATTGCGAATAGAGGCCAAAAAGCAAGGGGCTTGATTTACAAAGCTTGAGTGATAGTCCTAAAGATAAGTTATTGGTATATAAAGAAAGGATATGTGGATTATTTCTAGTAGTATGAAGAGATAAAAAGTTAATCATATATTGGGAAAGAACAATTAGGAAATACACCCAGACAATATTAATGCTTTTGCAACTAGATGATACTATGAAGGTGTCAGAGAGAAGGAAATGTGAAATAATGAATAAGCAAAGCAAAAAAGATGAGTGCCAGAAAAATCTTAAATGGAAAATGATAGAAAAATGTTCGATTTTGCTGTTTTTATTTTGGTATTCAAATGAAAAAAACCAACAGAAGCAATAGATAACCAACAGAAACATGGAAAGAATAATAATATAAGAAGGCATCAAATTTCTTAAGACTTTAAAAATATATTTGTTATCCTGGAATTTTTTAAAATAAAAAGTCTATAAAGATAAATGCAATAATGTATGAAACATCTTAGAGCTCATAGGAGGGGAATTGCTGTCTATATTTGAATTATAATCACAGACTATTTGGTAAGCAGAGGGGTAGAAAGTTATGTTTTCTCTTCACATGGTATAGCAAGATAATTAAAATTGGAGGTACATGAAGATATTAACTCAATTAACAATTGAGTAGAAATACTGGATAAAGTATATATTTTTTGTTCTTGTCTTTTATGCGAATTGGAAATATTTTTCTGAATTTGTTGCTTTTTGTTAAGTCAGGTTTATTGATGTGTAATTTATATTTAGTAAAATTGGTACTTTTTTTTTTTTTTTTTTTTGGAGACGGAGTTTCACTCTTGTTACCCAGGCTGGAGTGCAATGGCGCGATCTTGGCTCACCGCAACCTCTGCCTCCTGGGTTCAGGCAATTTTTTTCTCCTGCCTCAGCCTCCTGAGTAGCTGGGATTACAGGCACGCGCCACCATGCCCAGCTAATTTTTTGTATTTTTAGTAGAGACGGGGTTTCACCATGTTGACCAGGATGGTCTCAATCTCTTGACCTCGTGATCCACCCACCTCGGCCTCCCAAAGTGCTGGGATTACAGGCGTGAGCCACCACGCCCGTCTTACTCTATGAATTTTAACAAAGGCATATAATTGTATAACCGTCACCTATCAACTAAAATATCATTTGTACTTTTTAAAAAGAAAGACTTGTTGGAATCAGTAATTTATATATGTCAGAGTCAGTATAAGGAGTTGCTCAAATTTGGAAAAAATACAAAAAAAATATACTTTAAAAGTTAGGTGTGTGTGGATTTATACAGTCATGCTCTGTATGACAACCTTTCAGTCCATGATGGACCAAATATATGATGATGGTCCCTTAAGATTGTAATATCATCTATTTACTGTACCTTTTATATGTTTAGATATGTTTATATACACAAGTAGTTACCATTGTGTTACGGTTGCCTATAGTACTCAGTACTGCTATGTGTTAATACAGGTTTGTAGCCTAGGAGCAATAGGCTGTACCATATAGTCTAGGTGTGTAGTAGGCCGTACTGTCTAGGTTTGTGTAAGTAGATTCTATGATGTTCACACAGCGAGAAAATTGCCAGACAATGCATTTATCATTAAATTTCTCAATGCATTTCTCAATGCATTGTGCATTAAACCAAACCACAATTGTATGTGCTTTGGTTTAATCTGTTGAGTTCTACTTCTGTTGATGTTCTAAAGTAACTTGCCACAAAGTTGCTATCTTTATGTAAAATCAGATCAGTTTTTATATGCTCATGGCCATAGGTAATTCAATACCTCTGGAGTTATGTGGATATATATTTGCAACAAGTAACATTTTGACCACTTCAGGGGTACTTCTGGAGCACTCATTTGAGCATACATTGATACTTGAACTCTTTCAAAGCCTTTATTTATTGATAAAGGATACCCATCTATATTACTGGAAGATCTATCAGGAAATATGTTAACTTTTTCAGGCTCTAGTACAAGAAGCATAGGGTAGCTGGCACTAAACAAGAATTAGAAAAATAAGTTCTAAGTTGGTAAGATAGGATGTACCTTGTAAGAAATATGTTCAGGGATGTGGAAGAGTTGGTGTTTGCATTATTCTCACCAAGCACCTCAGCTCCACAATCATCCATTCTATATCCTTGTTTTTTTGCAGGGATCCATTCATTATTGATTCGTCCCTGTGATGATAAGATTATGATGCTGTTGAGTCCAAGGACCCTTGAGATATTTTTTTAAAAACTGTATCGTTGGCTACCCTTTTAAACATGGCCATATATTGCACATTTGACTTCGATTAACACTTCATGAGTGTGTCAAAAGAGTGGAAGGCTTTCAAAAAATTAAATTACTGCTATTGAGAAAATATCCCACACAACTTAGGATGCTTTCTTTTTTATTTCATTTATTTATTCAGCAACTGCTGTTTCAGTTCCTTAGATACTGTGCTGAGAACTGGGAATTCAAAGATATATGCAGTGTTGCCTTTAAAGAGCTTGGCATGTAATGAGGAAAACAGTTAAGTGAACACAGTTATAATGTGCTATGAGAAGTATGTCACCTTTTTACTGGTTCATTCAATGCAAATTTATTGAGAACCTGCTTTGTGGCAGGAATTGTTCTAGGTGTTGTGGATATAGCAGGAACCAAGTAGGTGAAGTCCTTTCTCTATAGGACTCTCTGGTAGAGGAGATGCACAATAAGCAAAAAATAAAATTGTATATTATTAATTGCCACATGTAGTATTAAAAAAGGACCTCATGATAAGGAGTGACTACATGTCCACTTTAGTTTGGGTGGTCTGAGGAGACTTAAAGATGTGCCATTTAAACCTTATTCTAAAAAATAAGGAGCCAGTGTGAAGTCAAAAGAAGAGTATTTTAGGCAGCAGGCATAGTTGGAGTCAAGGTCCCCAAATTGGCTTGAGTTTGTTGTTCAAATGCAAGAAGCCAGTTTGGGCTGTGTGCTAAGAATGGTAAGATGTGAAGCTAAAGAGGTAGGTAGAGGCCAGATCATCAAGGCTCTGCATGCTTGGTGTAAGGAGTTTGGTATTTTAGTATAAGTAGAACAGAAATCCATTCGAATATTTTGTGCTTAGAGTTGGTATGATCTGCTGACATGAGCCATTCTGACTATGGTATGGAGAATGAGTAGAAGCAGGAAGACACTTTGGGAGGCTATCGCAGAGGTCTGGGTGAGAGGTGATGATAGTTGCACTGTGAGATCATAATGAAGAATAGGTAAGTGGTGGCATTCAGGGCATATTTTGGAGGTAGTGTCTCACCAGATTTGCTAATGGATATAGGAGGGTAAAAGAAAGGACTCAAGAGTAGCCCCTAGATTTTTGGCCTGAATGGCCGGGTGGATAGTGGTGCCTTTAATTTTGGAAAGTTTGGTGGACAAACAGGTTTGGGATACTGTAAATTACTGCCATTGAGAAAATAAAATATCCCATACATCTTAGGATGTTCCACATCCTGCTCCACACATACTCTACATTGAAGTGGAGATGTTACGTAGGCATTTGAATGTATGAATCCAGAGCTCAGGGGAGACATTAGGACCAGAGGTAAATATTTAGGAGTCAGTGGCATCAAGATGGTATTTAAAGCCATGGATCTCTAGGAGATTATCAGTAGGGATCAAGGCCACATAGCTCATAAGTGATAGTATTGAGATTGGGATTCAAATTTGGGTTTTTACCAACTTTATTCTGCCAAACCACATTTCTACAGCATATTTTTACATTTATGGAGGCTAGCACATTTTCTCAAAAGCTTTATCACTATGGGACTCAAGAGTATTAATTAGCTCATAATTATGATGGCATTTTCTTGTTTTAGTAATATTGCATTAGTAATTATTTTAATATAATGTAGATTGGTGATGCCCTACTTATAGATCATTAGTAGTGGGGTAAATTTCATTTTGTTGTTTGTAATATATAATTAAAGAGAAAAAAAAAACCCTAGAAATTATGTTGAAGCCGTCCTTATGATTTTGTCTCCTTCAGAAATCTAAGTTACTTTAAATGTGGTAAAATTGAAGTTATGTTGTGTTGTCGATTTGTGATTGGGTATCTTTTTTTGATCCTATCACCACAGTGAGATCTTTTGTGCTTTGACAGCACTTTGTTTATATAGCTATTAAAATACTTAATTTTTTTTTTTTTTTTTTTTTTTTTTGAGATGGATTTTGTTCTTGTTGCCCAGGCTGGAGTGCAATGGCTTGATCTTGGCTCACTGCAGACTCTGCCTCCCGGGTTCAAGTCATCTCCTGCTTCAGCCTCCTGAGTAGCTGGGATTACAGGCATGCACCACCATGCCTGGCCAATTTTTTACTTCTTAGAAGAGATGAGGTTTCTCCATGTTGGTCAGGCTGGTCTCGAACTCCTGACCTCAGGTGATCTGCCTGCCTCAACCTCCCAGAGTTTTGGGATTACAGGCATGAGCCACCACAATTGGTCAATAAATTGTGCTTATTAAAACAATTTTATAATTTATATTTCATATCCATGAGAGTGTTTTTCTTGATTTTGTGTCTAGCATGTGGTATAGTTTCTGGCACATTAGAGATCTGTTGTGTTTATTTAGTGACTAAAGTAATGAACTAAATGAATATGATCATTACATCTATATTATTTTAACACAAATATTGTTACTAAAGAAAGCAAGTCACACAACTAGCAAATCATATATACATATTTTTTATATAACAGAAACTTTGTTTCTCATGTGGCTTTTTTCTTTTAAATTGATGAATAAAATGATTTTAAAAAACGTATCCACAGGGGTCTTTTAAGTATCCACAGGACATTGTTTCTGGGACCCCCACAGATACTAAAATCTGCAGAGTTGAAGTCTCTTATATAAAATGGCATAATTGCTTATGTAAATTTAATGTTATGAGAAAATAAAATAAAATTGTGCCGTGTTTGCATATAGTCTATGTACATCCTCCTGTATATTTTAAGTCATCAGTAGATAGCTTATAATACCCAATATACACAATCTCTAAATGGTATACAGTAGTGCTATCTTAAACCATCCTCCCACCTCAGCCTCCCAAGTAGCAGGGACTATAGGCATGCACCACCATGCCTGGCTAATTTTTGTAAATATGAGGCTTCACCACGTTGTTCAGGTTGATTGTGAACTCCTGATCTTAAACAGCCCATCGGAGCCTCCCAAAGTGCTGGGATTACAGGCATGAACCATCACGTTTGGCCTGTATTGTTATTTCTAATCTTTTAAAATATTTTTGATCTGACGTTGGTTGAACCTGCGAGTCTGGGACCTGTGGGTAAAGAGGGCCAACTGGATTTTCTACCCTAAGAGTTATATGCTACTTACTCATGTTACTCTCATTTCTACTTTTAGGCCTACTGAACTTGATGCACTGGTATTTGGCCATCTGTACACCATTCTTACCACACAATTAACAAATGATGAACTTTCTGAAAAGGTGAAAAACTATAGTAACCTCCTTGCTTTCTGTAGGAGAATTGAACAGCACTATTTTGAAGATCGTGGTAAAGGCAGACTGTCATAAGTGTTACGTGTTAGTCTCATAAGTCTAATTTTTGACATATGTTTTACTTGAATGTTATATTAGATATTGGTATCAGAATTTTAAAACCAAATTACTGTTTTTTGAAACCTCAAAACAAATTATACAATGTATCTTATATATGTGCTTTATGTTGTTACTTGTGTATACATTAAAATAATTCTGAATTATTTCATTTGATATATTGTATTCTATATCTTGAAATTTTTGTTTCCTTGAAACATGCATGCATATAAAAATAAAACTTACACAACTGTATTGATGTTACATTTACTTTCTTTTGATTTTTCTGAAAGTCATTCACTGAATTTTACACATGTAGAATAAACAGAGTCTTTTCTAAGGCAAGTAATTTGTGTTACGTGCTCCAAGATTCCATTGCTAGATACGTGGTGAAACTGATAGCGGGTAAAAATGTTCTTAGCTAGTGTGCTCTTAGAAAATATGGATGGTTTTAAGGTAATTCAATCTTGGTGCAGATTTGACATTTAAGAACATTAAAAAACATTTCATTAGAGTGGCTATGGTTTACATTTGATAAAGGAAACGGTTGAGGGACCATTTTGAGACAAGAACATTTTAATAATGCTCTTTTATTCCTTTGTGGGAAAGGGAAGATAGTTTTCACAAAAGTATTGATAGGAATTTTTATGTAAACTCTAAGGATTATATGTTGTGTTCTTTTCAAATTTTCTTATAGTTTATATCATATAAAACCAGGATGCTCTAAAGAGTCAGATGTAAAAAATTATTTCCTAAAAATGTCTAGAATAATAGTACTTTTATATTTTCTTTTTATGTACCAGGGAATTTTAACTCATTTAATCCTTATAAAATAGTATGGCTTTGCAGACACTGCTACCATCTAAAGGCACCTGTGTCAGCCATGGTCAGCCCCATGTTCTCCCACATAGTTGTTAAGGAGGAGCTCCACATCTCCTTTGGGTTGTTTGCAGGCATAGTTCCAAAGACAGCAGAAAACCTTTGTGCCCTGAGCACTGGAGAGAAAGGATTTGGTTTAAGAGTTCTTGCTTTCACAGAATTATTCCAGGGTTTAGATGTCAGGGTGGTTGACTTCATGCCATAAAGGCACTAGGTGCATGACCATCTATGGGGAAAAGTTTGATGACAAGAACTTCATCCTGAAGCATACAGGTCCTGACATCTTAACCATGGCAAATGCTGGACACAACACAAATGGTTTCCAATTTTTCATCTGTAGTGCCAAGACTGAAGGCTTCGATAGTAGGCATGTGGTCTTGGGAAAGGTGAGAGAGAGGATATGACTATCATAGAAGCCATGGAATCCAAGAATGTCCAAGAATGGAGTCCAAGCCATGGAGTCCATGCAAGCTTTGGGTCCAAGAATGGCAAGACCAGCAAGAAGATTACCATTGCCAACTGTGAACAATGCTAAGAAATTTGAATTTTGTATTATCTTAACTATAAGACCATTCCTTCTGTAGCTCAGGAGAGCAACGTTCCACTCCACTTGTTTGCAATATCCTATGTTTGTGCTCTCACAAAGTAATACTTTGGGTTTCATATTTTTTTTCTTATTCCCTTCTACATCTAGCTAGATTGAATGAATAAGTTTATGAGAATAAAAACTAAACAACAAAGGCAAAACACTGTGAAGGTTATTATTCCCAGTTTACAGATGAGGAAATGGAGACACAAAAAATATACTACCTTGTCTGAGGTCATAAAGTTGGTATGTGGTAGAGCTGGAATTCACACCCATGCAGTCTGGCATCAGTTTGACATTTTTTTTTTTTTTTTTTTGAGACAAGATCTCTGTCACCCAGTCTGGAGTCCAGTGGCATACTTATGACTAATTGCAGCCTTCACCTTCCCCTGGGCTTAGTTGATCCTCCTGCCTCAGCCTCCATGTAGCTGGGAGTCCAGGTGTGCCACCATGCCTGACTAATTTTTGTATTTTTTTGTAGAAGCAGGATTGCCCCATGTACTAATTTTTGTATTTTTTTGGTAGAAGAGAGATTGCTCCATGCTTCCCAGGCTGTTGTGGAAGTCCTGAGCTCAAGTGATCCACCCACCTTGACCTGCCAAGATGAATGCCTGTGTTGGGATTACAGGCATGAGCCATGGTGCCTGGCCAAGTTTGGCTTCTCATCATCATGCTTTTTTTTAAAGATAGAAATATATGCCATATAAAGGATATATTAGGTTTGCCTTAGTGTAAATATCATGTAAACTTTGAGTACTGTCTTTGGACTATAGTATTCTTATTAGCTCTCCTGAGCCAATATTGTAATTATTAAAATAAAAAAATCCCCAGCTACCTGTGTTTTTGTACAATTCATGACACATTTTTGTATACATTTTTGTGTTCTTGTATCTAATGATGCATTTCTCTTTTAATGCTACCATCACATATATTTAATTGTACAAGTACCGTTTATGCCTTAATATGCACAATTCTGATTTTTTCTTTGAGATTTTTTAATATAAAAATAGAAAGATGCTATGTCAACATGGGTTGTGATATTTTATTTTATTCTTGAGACAGGGTCTCACTCTGTTGCCCAGGCTGGTTTCAAACTCCTGAGCTCAACTGATCTGCCTACTTCCACCTCCCAAAGTGCTAGGTCTAGAGGCATGAGCCACCACACCCATCCTGGTTGTGATATTCTAATCTTAATGATTATAACTGTCTGTATTCTTAATATGAGGAACACTGGGGAACTGGTCGTTTATTCCAAGTTGACATACTTACTGTTGTTTAAGACTTGTAGTATACAGCTCACTCGAAGAGGGCTTGTTTCTTTCTGCTGTTGAAGTGAATCACCCTCTGAACAATACAATAGAAAATGTAAACTGATCTCGTTTTGTGATTCAGTTTTTTTCCTTTATCTTTTAAATTTTAGTTTGGAAAGCCAAGTCATAGTAGATAAAAATTATCACTGTAAAACTACTTTGTTGACTTGTTTTGCTGCCAAAATACTTGCATATTTGTGAGTTTTACAATAAGCACATGCACTCTTATTTAAATAAAAATTTAAATTGTAAGTAGTTTTTCAGAGTGATAGTTTTACATATGAGAAAATTTAAATTAACAATGTCTACAGTATCATATTTGGTGACTTGAATGATGTATATTATTGTGTTTAAAATAATTTTATCTTCTATGACACTTTTCAGAAATCCAACTTACTACTTGTTAATTGATTTGAATATTAGATGAGTAGCTGTAGTATTTGTTCATTAGGTATCCTAAATCAATGGTCCCCAACCTTTTTGGCACCAGGGACCAGTTTTGTAGAAGACAACTTTTCCATGGATGGTGGGGAGTAGGGAATGGTTTCAGGATGAAACTGTTCTACTTAGATCATAAGGCATTAGATTTTCATAAAGAGCGCACAACTGTAGATCCCTCACATGCACAGTCCACAGTGGGGTTTGTGCTCCTATGAGAATCTAATGGTTCTGCTGATCTGACAGGAGCCGAAGTTCAGGCCGAATGCTTGCTTTCCAGCTGCTCACCTCCTGCTGTGCAGCCTGGTTCCTAACAGTGTGGGTCCATAGCCCAGGGGTTGGGGACCCTTCCTCTAAATCCAGAAAAATTAGAAATTATAAAGTAGGCCAGTCTGAAAGATTAGTAATAGGTCTTGATGCTTTTTTGATCAACAAATAATGAAGAGTATTTTTCTTATTGTTGTATATGGTTGTCATTTAATCATGCAGGTGTTAGAGTGAGGTATTTTAAGATACTGCGTTCCACAGTAAAATTTAAGATACTATAATTTTTTTGAACATACATTTTTTAAGTATTAAAACCAGTGGCTTCTTGGTCAACTATTTTGTAGTATGTCTAATCTATTTATGTTCACATATATTAAGTCATTTATAAATTTTATTGAGCCTTAAAAAAATATTTAAAGGTTTGATTATATCTAGACTGATATAAATGTTTTCCTACTTTATTTTTAAATTTCTAAGAATCGAAATCAGATTTCTATCTTTAATTCTTTTTTTTTCATTTTTGCTAAGTTATGGCAATTGAATTAGTGGTAAGACTGTAATCGTTTCTTTGAGATTTTCTACTTGGACAAACCTGTTTTCTGTGAATATAGTTTTATTTCAGTTCTTCCAGTCTGTATCCCTTTTGTTGTTTTGCTTTTGTTTTGCCTTATTGCACTAACTAGCACGTGCATTGTTGAATAGGAATAAAATAATGGATATTCTTACCTTGTTTGTGGTATGTTAAGGGGAAAGTATTTAGTCTTTCACCATTAAGTATGAATGTAGGTTTTTGTTGGTGCCCTTTACTGAGTTGAGGCAGTTCCCTTCTAATCCTGGTTTGCCAAGAGTTTTGTTTGTTTTTCATGAATAGTTGGTATATTTTATCAGAGGCTTTTTCTGCATTTATTCAGTTGATCATAGGTTTTTAAAAAATTTATTCTGTTGAAATGTTTAATTATATTCATTGATTTTCAAATATTAGATCAGCTTTAGTATCTGGGATAAATCCCTTTTAATCGTGATATATGATCTCTCTTTATAGTGTTGGATTTTATTTCCTGGTGTTTTATTTAGGATCTTTATATCCATAGTCATGAGAGATGTTGGTCTCTAGTTTTCGTGTAATGCCTTTGTCTGGTTTTAGTATCAGGTTAATACTGGCCTCATTTTGTTGGAGCGGGTTCTTTCCTATTCTACATTTGGGAAGAGTTTAGATTTGGTATTACTATCTTCTCTGTAAATGTTGTGTAGAATTTACCAATTTCATTATGTGGGCCTGGAGATTTTTTTGTTGGAAGATTTTAAACTAAAATTTTAATTTTTTAAATATGCTTAGGACTACTCAGGTCATCTGTTTCTTCTTGGGTAAACTTTGGCTTGTGCCTTTCAAAGAATTTGTCCATTTTCTCTAAGTTACTGGATTCATGGGCAAGACTTATTTGTATTCTTTTATTATTCTTTTAATGACTGTGGCATCCATAGTGATATCCCATCTTTCCCTTTTCATATTTGTAAATTCTATCAGTCTGGCTAGAGGCTTATCAATTAAAAAAAATTCCCCCAGTTTCCAGTTTCATTGATTTTTTCTTTTACTCTGTAGTTTTGTTCTCGGTTTCTTCTCTGTTGTATCATTGTCATTTCCTTCCTTATACTTGCTTTGGGTTTAACTTGCTCTACATTTAATAGTTTCTTAATGTGGAAGCTTAGACTGATTTGAGACTTTCCTTTGTAATATAGGCATTTAATACTATAACATTCCTTCTAAACACTGCTTG